TTATTATTATTATTATTATTATTATTATTATTATTATTATTATTATTATTATTATTATTATTATTATTATTATCCGATTACATGTTTGGTATCAATATTTATTATTTTTCTAATTTAATTAATAAAAAAAGTTTTCACGAGTCGAAGCTGGTCGTCTAGAAGCTCGCTACTGCGAAACAAATATTGCGAAACATACTCTTGAACTGGTGTCAAATTTCGAGAGCATGGCGAAATCATTCGGCTTGAATTTCATTATCGATATACCGAATCATCAAGAATTTGAAAGAAAGTTAAAGCAAAAGGTGTTTTTGGATTTGGACTTGTATGAGAAAATTGTGTTTAATCTTTGTGAGTTTTCAAATACACACACACAATCTTTTCTTGTTTAATTTTATTTACATTTGATCTAATTCTGATGATGGTTTATTTAATAGGTTCTAATGCGTTCAAGTATACTTGGCGCGGAAGTGTCACTGTTCGTCTATATACCGATATTAAAGAATTAAAAGAGGTGGTCGTCTTTGAAGTGGAAGATACCGGTATGAAAATAGTTTTTGTTTATTATCTCTATATATCAACTAATATACTTATCCTGTAATTTATTATCCAATGACATAACAGGTGTTGGTATTTCACCTGAACATCTATCAAACCTCTTCCAACGTTTTTACAGAATAGAATCACATCAAGCACGTAGTCACGAAGGAACCGGTATCGGCCTTGCTTTAGTAAAAGAGCTAGCAACACGCCATGGCGGCGATATCGAAGTAGAGTCACATGTTGACGTTGGTAGCAAATTCAAGATTTGGATGCCGACCGGCTACGATCACTTACCTCTTAAAAATGTTATTATTGAAAGTAGCGGTGATATGCATGATGGGATCGGAGATAATCGCGAAAAACATCTTTACTCTAGTCTTGATCTGTATTTAGATGAGAGCAAACATTGGATTCAAGATGAGCCCAAGTTTAATGATATTTCTATACAACAAAATATTACATTAGCGGATGAACAAACAGCAATCAAGTCTTTGCAGTCGTTGAATCTTTCGTCGCCTATTACTGATTCTATTACATCTACATCTCGTACATCTCCATTTTTATCTGAAAAGTGTACCGATTCGGATAAATCAGCTCTTATTCTTATTGTTGATGATAATACTGATATGAGGTAGAAAACAAATTTTTTATTTTTCCTGGTATTCAAAAATTAATTTATAGAACATTAATGGTTCGGTATTTATTAGAAACTACCTCTCAAATGTTCTAAAAACTGAATTCAAAGTTCAATGTGCAACCGATGGACGTGATGCACTCGGAATAATTCAAAATAAAAAGATACATCCGGATCTTGTGTTAAGTGGTATGTATTGAATTATTCGAATTACATTTTTTGCTTTGTGTGATATATAATATTATCTTTTAAAATAAAATCATTGAATAAAAATAGATATAATGATGCCAAATATGAATGGATTGGAGTTATTGAGTGCTCTTCGATCTAATCCGACTACCCAATTGATCCCGGTGATTTTATTGTCGGCACGTGCTGGCGAGGAGGAGAGCATTAAAGGTGAGTTAATCATTATTTTTATTGCAACTATGCCAATCAACTAATGCGTCTTCAATTAATGACACTAACGAATATATAAAAAATAAAAAAGGTTTAGAAAAAGGAGCAGACGATTACTTAACCAAACCGTTCAGTGCTCGAGAATTACTCGCACGTGTCCACGTAAACGTCAAACTCTCAAAATTACGTCATGAACTGGTCTTACAACAACGCCGGCAGACCGAGACAAAACAACTCTTATTCTCGATCAGCAGTAAAATTCGATCTGGACTTAATATTCAAGAAATTCTCTCGACAGCCGTTAAGGAAATTCATCGTATTCTTGCCTGTGATTCGTTATTGGTGCTTTGTAGTGACCCGATGAATAAAGGAGTTGCAAAAATCATGGCCGCATCTGCATCGTCACAAGATATTCAATCGTTGATTGGGACACAAGTACCGTGTAGAGCAATTGATGATGCTAAAGACTCGTGGGGTGATCAATTGGATATATTACCACCGATTACTACCTCCGCAGATAAGGTAGCTCTCCCGCTTTCGTCGTTTTTACCTTCACATAGTCCGCCAGATTCCGCGACCACAAATATCAAATCCTCACTTTATAAAAAGTTAGTACCACTCACAGATGCAACAGATAGCGATTATTTAGACTTGGAGATTGAGTGTCACCAAAATTACTTTTCGCAAGTTGTTAATCAACCCGTTTCCTCGATGTCAGTCGCAATTCGCTTAAACTCTTCATTCTGGGGTTGGATTGTCGCACATCGAAAACCAAACGAGGATTGGACTGATTCCGAACAAACGTTTTTACAAGAAATTTCGAATCAGATTAGTTTAGCGATTACGCATGCTAAGCTCTCTGAAGAGAAACTGAAACGTGAAGCACAAATGGAGGCAGCTAAAACGGCTAATGAGGCAAAAAGTCAAATTTTGGCAAATACTTCTCATGGTAAATTATATAATTTTTATTTTTTTATTTAATAATTGATTATATCTAAGCTCTTGATATATATATATATTCATTCACTTATAAATAGAATTGCGCACACCATTGGGTGCAATTATCGGTGTCCTCTCAGCATTCGAAGATACACCACTTACCACTGATCAAAAAGACATGGTCCACATTATGACTCGTGCCTCTGACGTCGTACTTTCAGTAGTCAACGATATTCTCGACGCTGCGAAACTCGAAGCCCAAAAAATCACCTTAATGAATCGTACATTTGATCTTTTCGATCTTGTTGAGAGAACTATAGAAATTTTCGGAGAACGCGCGGGTACCAAGCAAATTGAGCTAGTATTAGTTTTTGAGCCGACTGAATTACCAAAATATGTAAAGTCGGATCCGGAAAGATTGCAACAAGTTTTAATGAATTTGTTATCCAATTCCGTAAAGTTTACCGAGTCGGGAGAAGTTGTGATGAAAATTTCGTTAGCTTCTTCGGATACGTATCATATGAATGAAAAAGGGGAGGCAGGCACATGGAAGACCGGCACCTTGCTCATAGAATTGACCGATACTGGCATCGGGTAAGTTTGTTTCTCTATTAGAGATACAGAGTGGTTTGCTTTATATAAATAATAATTAAATATCATTATTATTCTAATTAGAATTGATCCAGTATTCATGAAAGACATCTGGGAAAGTTTCTCGCAAGGAGATCCTTCAATTACCAGACGTCAAGATGGTACAGGTTTAGGTCTCTCAATTTGTAAGCATTTAGTGACAATTAACGGCGGTGATTTAGGTGTACAAAGTGAATTGCACAAAGGCAGCCGATTCTGGTTCACCTGGAATGTCGAACCTCTTTCTCTGGCAGCAGCCCCGTTGACATCACCACCTCAAATCAATGCATCCGATATTGGAACGAGTGCGCAACAAGCAGCGTTCGTAGTACCTGCACATGTACAATCGAAACGTGTTTTTATTGTGGAACCAGTTGAAACAGCACGATCAGCTATTACAGCAATGTTAAAAGCGAGCGTTGAACGAGTAGATACTTTTGATGATTGCGATCAAGCATTAGCCGCCGCGAAAAAAATGCACAATCGAAATCCATGTGATGTGATATTCTTCAATGTAACCACCGAAAATTCCGAAAAGGTTGAAAAAACCGCCAAAGAATTCCAACAAATATGCGGCGGAAAAGATAACATCTCTATTGGTCTAATGGTATTTTGGTCTGGTGTTGGTCGAGCACTAGGCAAAGAAATGATACATCGTATTGGAGGTCATGTCGCAGCTCTTTGCAAGCCTATTATGCAGCGTCGTCTATTGGATTGTTTACAGAACAGTGAAATCTTCAGGTCGTCAGAATCATCAGAGCCGAACCCTCCTACACTTGCTATTGATCGGTTCCGAATTGAGGATTATTATCATCATAATAGGCCGAATTGTAGACATATTGATAATTATAAGGAGTCTTCGATAATTCGAAAGTCGAGTTCTAGCGAGGATGAGATAATTCTCACCACCTCCACTACCACTAAAGAAAAAAATATTCTTAATGATAATATCGACAACACTGTATCCACTGGTGACATTATATTATCGACTGAAAATAATTCAAGTCTTGATGCTAAACGATCACCGAATAAAAGGTCGGCGTCAAGTGAGAGTCATGAGAGTGAACCTCATAATACCAAGTCGAGAACACGTGTTGTGTCTCCGACAAAATGTGTTTTATGTGTCGAGGATAATCCTATCAATTTGAAGGTATTTTTTTTTTATTTTTTAATTCATCTTTTATTTTGATGACTAATATTAATAATGATTAAATTTCCAGGTTATTCAACACCAACTTTCAAAACTCGGGTACCAATCTTTATCGGCTACAAACGGCCTCGAAGCTGTGAATCTAATAAAAGCTGAACTTGAATCTTCTCAACAAGAGGGAACAACGTCAAAAACACGTGTATCATTGATATTAATGGATTGCGCAATGGTGAAAATCTATTTATTTATTACTATATGATATTTAGAATAATTTTTCTAACTCGGGTTAAATTACTTTACAGCCAATAATGTCTGGTTTTGATGCATCACGTGAAATTCGTTCAATGGGGATTAGCACCTCCCAGATTCCAATTATTGCATTGACTGCCTCAGCTGTTCAAGGTACTCGGGACAAGTGTCTCGATAGCGGCATGAGTGATTATCTCACGAAACCGTTGAAAATGACTCATCTTCGTGAAAAATTGATTCAGTGGTTGGGCGATGATACTAATTAATTTCCATCATATACCTAACACAAAAAAACTCAAATATGCATTTATATGTAAACATCCAAGTATTTATTTTTTTGGACTTTTTTGATTTTTTGTTTTATGTATTATCATAAACTTTTTAATATAATGTTTCTTTTATGCAAGACCTTTTTATTAATTTATTCTTTGTAATATAGTCAAAAAACAGTGTAATTTTTCTTAACACCGTATATCCTTTTTTTAATTCACCTCCCTTATTTTTAATTCTTAAATCAATTATACACACCACTCACAAAATCACAACTCTATCCATTTCATAACCCACACAACACACTTTTCATAATTTTCGGGAGTTTTCATCAATTCAAAAAAGCCAAAGCTATTTTTAAAATTTTTTGTAATATATATTCTATAAGTTAGAAAAGACTTTCAAATATATTTATAGATATCGATGTATATAGATATTTATATAAAGTGTGTGGGGAGGGTGTGTGTGTTGGGGGGGGGGTTTAATTTTTTAACCAAGATAAGGATTTTATTGTTGGAGGTTAGGTGATCGATAATGGATATTTCGAGGTGTATATTAATATGTAGATAATGATCTGACCAAAATTATTTTTATAATTTTTATATCAACCAGCTATCATCATCAGCAATTCAAAAATTAATATGTTCAAATGTTAATGACACTTACCATTATTATCGATCCCGTCGCTGACAACATTTATATGTACCACTATAGAAAACTATTTATTTAATTCTTCAATTGTCAATTTTTTTAAAAAAATTAAGCCTTTTTTATAGTACTAGGTTTTTAAAATTATGGTTTAAATATGCACATAAGCAATAAATAATAACGATAATTAATTCAAGCAGGATAAAGTTACACTTATCACGAAAAGTCTTACTATTTAAAGCTAGAACTTTAAACAAAGCTATTTAATAATATATATTTATATATTAAATATAAAACAATTTATTCACTTAGAATTGCAATTTTAAAATATAATAATTTATTGTGATAACGCTCAAATTTTAATTATAAATTTTTCATAATTAAAATATAATATAATACAAAATTTCAAATATTTAAATATTATATTTATATTTGATATATAATTTAAATTAATATTTAACATTATAAATTAAAAAATAATATAAAAATAATTAAATATTATATTAAAATATAATTATATTTATTTATAATTATATTTATTTATAATTATATTTTTTTATAATTATTTTTATTAAATATAGTAAAATGCATGTTTTTCTTTTATATGAAAGTTTTCAATTTTACTAATAAATATTTTTTATTTTTATATTAAAATAAAAATAATATCACATATTTTAATATATATTTTTTTCA